CTATTTAACAAGATATCATCAGCATATAACACTAGCATAATGAAACTACTCCTACTAACCTTGAAGTATATACATTGATCCACAACATTTCCTTTGTATCCAAAAGATGTAATAATACTGTAAAGTTTGTAGTACCACCGATGGGAGGCCTGTTTCAACCCATAAATGGCCTTTTTCAATCCATAAATCATATGTTCCTTACCCTCAGTTGCAAATCCTTTGGATTGCTTCATGTGCATTTCCTCATATAGATCACCATTCAAAAAGGCCATTATCACATCCATCTAATGTAGTTTCATGTCATAATGAGCTACCAAGAGCATGGTTGTTCTGGATTAGTCTTTTTAAAGATAGGAGAAAATGTCTCATTGTAGTCAACTCCCTTCTCTATATTGTACCCTTTGGCCATGAGCCTAGATCTGTACCTTTTCAACTTCACAAATAGGTGTCCTTTTAATCTTAAATATCCATTTGCATGGAATTGTTCGAGCACCTACCTGCAGCGATACTAAGTCCCTAACACCATTAGAGACCATAGATTCAATTTTACTCTTCATGGCCTTAAGCCAGAGTGTAGAGTTATGACTATCCATGGCTTCTCTGAATGTGAGTGGATCTATAAAAGGACCCATATCAAATTCAGTCTCTTGAATGTACACATAGTCAGAAGATGTGGTGCTTCTTATTCCAATCGATCTCCTAAGAAGTATGGGTGCTTCTATGCTCTTTACAGGAGATGGTATTTGCTTCGTAGGTTCTACTAAATGAGCAACAGTTACATCTACTTCAGTGGTATGTTCTACTAATGATTGTTCTTCTTGTACCATAGTGGAATCTGTAGGTAGAACAGCATTGAGATGTCTGTCAATAGTTTGGACTTCCCTTAACTCATTGTTTCCGGTATGTTCATTCCCACTCTCCAAGAAATCCTCTAAGAATTTTTCATTTCTTTCCTCCACAATTCTTGGGGAATTATTTGAACAATAGAACTTGAACCCTTTGGATCAGCATACCCTACAAAATGTCCATTGATGGTCCTAGGATCCTGTTTCCCTAATTACAGGTTGTATACCCTTACTTCAGCTCTGCAACCCCAAACTCAAATGGAGTTTTTGGTACCGACTTGGTTGGTACTCTATTTAATACGTATACTGCACTTGTTAGGGATTCTCTCCATAAATTTTTGGGCAAATTAGAGTCACTCATCATACTCCTCACCATGTCCATAAGGGTTCTGTTTCTTCTTTCAGCTACACCATTCTAGTCAGGTGACCCGGGCACGGCCTACTGCATGACAATATATTGTTCTCTTAAGAACAAAGCAAAGGGTTCAAGACTTTGACCTAAGTCAGTATATCTCCCATAATATTCTCTTCCTCTATCAAATCGAACTATCTTTATTGTATCCCTGGTTTGCTTTTCTACTTCTACCTTGAAAGTCTTAAATGCTTGTAAGGCTTCAGACTTCTCATGAAGCAGATATATATACATATACCTTGAGTAGTCATTAGTGTACGTTATAAAGTATCTTTGACCACTCAAGTAGGGAGTAGGGAGCGGTCCACATATGTCTGTGTGAATCAAAGCTAGTCTTGATTCACTCCTTATGGCTTTCTTTCCCTTCTTGTTGATTTATTTTCCTTTGATACAATCAATGCAAGTGGGGAAATTCTCAAGGCTCATGCATTGCAAAATTCCATCACACATGAGTCTCTTAAGGTGATCAACTGAAATGCGACCTAACCTTCTATGCCACAGGAATAAGGAGTTCGCTCCTATTGAACTCCTCTTTGTCCCAACTGTATAGGACATTAGTTTGTCCAAATCCGATGAGCGGTTTAATTTATACAAGTTAACAATTAACTCACTAAAACCAATTAATCTAGATGAATAAAATATTTCCAACTTTTATCATACAAATTAAGTCTATAACCATCAAGTACTAGTTTGGAAACAAAAATCAAGTTCCTGTAAAAGCCATAGGAGATGAACTATTCAAACTATGGCTTTTACAACAACTTTATTTCCATCTCCCAAGAAGATGAACTATTCATTCAGTTTTGATTTCCTTGTCCTTCGCAGTCCCTAAATGGTGTTAACAATATGGGTTGTTGCACTTGAATCAATCCACTATGAATCAAAGCATGACTTAACAAAATTAGATTCACATACCAAGGAAATATTAGTACCTAATTCTTTCCCCTTCAAACCCTTCTTCTTTTCCAACCAGCTTATAAACCTTGTGCAGTCACTTCTAAAATGGTCATTCTTCTTGCAAAAGAAGAAAGTGGGCTCACTTTTTGGCTTCCCTTTAGTATTTTTATGCCCCTTGCTCTTCTATACATGACCTTTCCTCTTCTTCTCACCTTTCATAACAAGATTGGCAATTTTCAGCCTCTCTTGTTTAAGTCTCTCCTCCTCTTGTAGACACATAGTCAAGAGACTATTAAAGTTCCAAGGTTCCTTTTGACTATTATATGACACTTTGAATGGTCCATACTCAATTGGCAAGAAGGTAAGAATAAAGGTCACTACGAAAGGTTCTGTAACAATCAGACCAAGGCTATTGAGCTTATCGCTTATGTCCTTCATTTCCAAAATATGGTCTCTAACAAATTTTGAATTAGCTAATCTCATGTTAACTAATTTGTTCAATATTGTCTGTGAGACCACCTTTTTCTGAGGCAACAAAGTGTTCTTCGATGGCTACAAGATATTCAGCCATGATATCCTTCTCAGGAATAGCACCTCTTATCCTTTTGTTTATGCAGGCTTTTACAATAGATTTGCATATTCGATTGGATCTTTTCCAATCATCTAAGTGCTCTTTCTCTTTCTGAGATGCATCGTCATTAAGTAAGGGTTTCTTCTTTTCTTGTATAGCTAAATCTAGGTCTTTGCATCCCAGAATTATGTGGAGCATTTGCTCCATTCTACATAATTATCACCGTCCAATATATGTATAGTGCAAAAACATATAAAATAATACAAAATACAAGATTTTGCACTCTACATATTTGCATTTGTACTCCTTCCAAACTGAGCCCAATAGATAAATTAATGACAATATCTCCATTGCTCATGAAGTGTTTCATTTCATGAACAAGAAAAATGGAAGTTTGGACATTATGGCATGTAAAATTGACATGGAAAAAGACTGATAGATTGGGATGGGATTTTATTCAAAAAATCCTTACAAATTTTGTTCCATGATAAGTGGATATCCTGGGTTATGGAATTCATTAAGTCAGTCTTGTAGCAAATTTAAATTAATGGTAGCCTGTCAGGGGAATTCGAACTTACTAAAGCTATTCAACAAGGGGACCCCTATTGCCTTAAATTTTTGTCCTTTGTGTTGAGGCCCTCAATAAGATGTTAATAAGAGAATCATGTGAACTAGGAAACCCTATTAGTTACAAAGCATTTAGGGGTTGTCCTCTTATTCCTACTCTTCAATTTGTGGATAACTATTTAATTATTGCAAAAACCATCGTCCCTACTTTGCTTAAAGATCAAAGAGATCTTGACGAGCTCTGCAAAAAGCCTTTGGATAGTGCCCAAATTTTACTAAATTGGATGTTAAGTTTTCAAAGAACATCCACCATCACCTCTAAAAAATTCTTTCTAAGTTGCTAAGTATTCCCATTGATAGTAATTCTAAACACTGTTCGGGGCTTCACTAATCACTGGGAGAGTAATGTGATTGATGAGATTCATAAGAAAAAAAAAAAAAACCCAAAAAAGACAAAAAAACAAAAACAAAACTTGCACCCCAAAATATGTGTGTGGAATGAAGCTAGTTTAGCTAAGTTAGACCAGAAAATGCTTAGAGAAGAGGATAACATTTGGGTGAAAGTTATGGGAGAAAAATATTTAAAAAATGATAATTTCTAGAATTTTAAAGCCAAAAAAGGAATTTTCTAGGTATTCTTTTGGCTAGGTATAAGGGTATTGGATAGACCGTGGGAAATGGTAGTTCCATTAATTTCTGGACGAGAATTTGATTAAAGATAAAAATATGAGTGTGTCTAGTGTTGTAATTGATCATGATAGAACATCTGACCACGTTGGAAAATATATATATATATATATATATATATATATAATTTGTGGAATACTCCACAACCAATTATGACAAAAGGTCAAATTGATTTTCATTCCTTCTAACCCTATTGATGATAGGATGATTTGGAGGTTCATATCAGATGGCAACTTCTCGATTTCCAAATGTAACCTTTGGAAGAGAGGTTTTAATATAGATGATAGATTGTGCAATTTCTGCGACAATGAGATAGATCATGGTTTTTTAAAATCGAACCGGTGATTTGAATGGTTAGCCCGTTTTAACAAAAAAATAAAAAATTTGAAAAATAGTTAAAACCGTTTAAACAATTAACCGGTTGATTCAGCAGTTTATTGATCAAAATCAACGATTTTGAAGGAAAACAGAACTAGTTAGGTAACCGATTCCCGGTTATTTCAGTACGACCGTCCAGTCCAGTCTAGTTTTAAAAACCATGAGATAGATAATAATCACATATTTAGGAATATGAATTCTCAAAACAGGTCTGGATAACCATTTCCCCTTCATGGAGGGGCCTACTGACAATGAGCAAGCTATATGGGCTTGAATGGTGACTATTTCCCCTTCGCTTTGGAATTTGAATTGCACTTTTAATGGATTGGATGGTGATTATCCATTTCAATTCGATCGGAAAGGATCCAAACCAATAATTCATTATTTTACTTTCAAAATGAGGTTCAAAATTGCTAGTATAATTGATAATTGTAGATAAGAAATATAAGCGGATCTAATCGGGTCAGACCCGTTTATCAGGAAGAATGATTGTTTCGGTTCCGGATATTGGATATCCTGATTACTTATCGGATTGGGACTGAAACACCTCCTTGTCCCGAACGAACCCGTCCAGTTGACAACTCTCAACTCTACGGCTACGGGTGTTTAATTAATAGGATGGTCCGGTCCATTAACAGCAGTCCAGTCGACAGCCCTACGCTACGCTACCAAAGGAGAAGCGAGAAGGTGCGAGAGAGAAGTCCTCCGTCGAACGGCGAAAAGAGGTTTTTTGTTTTGATCACATGCAATCGCTGTGCTTCAATTCTTTTCTTCCAAATTTCCAGGTAAGTAAACATGAATAAGGACAATCAAAATCCTTTCAGTTCTTTGATCTGCAAGTTTTCTCGTTTTCGGCTTTCATGAATCGGTTTCGGATTCATGGTTGTTTGAATCAGAAGAAGTTTTTGTGCTTTGGTTGCCGTGTTGAATGAGATAGGTATTGAATGAACATGATGAAGTGAGGCTCTTGCTGGAAAGTTAGATTATTATTTTTTTATTGAATGGCTGTTGTTGATGGGTTTAGTTGCTTCTGAATTGAACAATGAAATTCGAATTGCGTCTGGATTGTGGGGGATCGATTAATTGAGTTTCTTATTCCTGACAATATCATCTTGGGTTTGTATGCTTGTGTCAAAGCCTTTTGGAGGGAATTAGGGCTTTGCTTCGCTCATCTGTGGAATTAGTTTACTTGATTTGGTAAGGGTATTTCTCGATTGGTGGGTTATTCTGTGTGTTTTATAGACTAAGAAAGTGAGAGAGAGAACGGCAGAAGAAAAAGGGAAAAACGGCTTGGAGGATTTCTTCGAGGATGGTTGTGAGACAAACAAGTTGAGATTGGATGCCTTGATGTAAAGTTCGAATTGTTTCTAATTTCAATGTTTGTGTCATGGCTCCTGCAATTTTTTCTTTTCTTGGGAATTTGTGGCCATTTGCTCGATGGAAACTTGATTCGAGGCCTGATGATGTGAAAGCCTCGGATAGAATTGTTCGTGGGCTTTCGATACCCGAGCAAACAAAACAATTCGTTTTTGCCATTCGTGAACCTGAGTCTCAGTCTATTATATATATACTAGCTGCGGAGAAGTTATCTGAGCAATCGGCTACTGATGCTGAGTGTCTTATTAAAGAAGTTCGGCCAGATGTGGTTGTTTCTCAGGTTTCTTTGTTGGATCCAACTGAGATTGAGGACGAGGAGAAGATTTTGAGGGATGATATAGCAAACTCTGTTCCTACTTCAACTTTTGGGGTGCTCAAAGGTTGTTTTGTCAACAAATTCAACAAAGAGAAGTACGAGAAGCTGGCCCGTAGTTTGGTTCTCCAAGAGATTTTCGGAGTTGGAGTTCATGGGCACTTCTTGGCTGCTAAAAGGGCTGCTAAGGAGGTCGGCTCCTCTGTCCTGTTGCTTGAATCACCACTTGGAGATGCTAGTGAGGCGTCTTCCACTGAACCTGATGTTGGTAAAATGTTTCAAGCTCGAGCTCTACAATCAAGTAGTTTAGTACCTCGCCGAGCAGTATCTTTTGTTTCATCAAGTTCAAAGCGATTATCCTCCCATGCTAGTGATGTTCAAACCCAGAGAGTGAAACCAATAGCTTCATCTCTAGCCTTCTCCACTTCTGATTCAAGTGTTTCTGGTTCTATCTCAGATGTAGGGTCTGGAGATTGTCAATTGGGATGCAATTACCAGGCACCATCATTTGCCCAATCCATTTATGTCTTCCTAAGCGATCTACACTGTATCTTCATTGATATCCCATCAGTTAGAAGAGCCCTTGCCCATGCACAGAAGATGCTTTTTAACGTGGACAATGGGCAAAATGTGGATGCAAAGCTTCTATCTGAAGTTCACTCCTTCCGAGTTGCAGTAGAGAGTCTTAGGCTGTGCAACAGTAATGCTGGCAGGTGCACCACTAACCTTTTGCAGAACCCCAATTCGGTTAAAACTGATTTTTCAGAGCTGACTATTGAGGACAAATCTCATGCTCTCCTAGCTCAAACCCTTCGTGGCCAGACTAAGAAGTTCAGATCCATTGTGGCTATAGTGGATAGCAGTAGCTTAGCTGGACTTAGGAAACACTGGAATACTCCTGTGCCTCAAGAGATTGAGGACTTAGCTGAACAGTTCTTTAAAAGGCTTGACAATGAGGGAAACTTTTATTCTTCTGAAAACATGGAAAGAAGGAAGTTATTAGCTGATAAACCAGTGGTGGCAGTTGGGGCAGGAGCAACAGCAGTTTTAGGGGTTTCATCCCTCTCCAAAGTTGTCCCTGCATCAACCTTTGTGAAATTACTTACATTGAAAGTACCTGCTTCACTTAAACTCTTTTTTGCCCAAACCCAGAAGGCAGTTGCAATCACCTTTACCAAAACCGTTGGCCCATCAAAAGTGGTAATACCAGGATTTGCTGGTTCTGGAGCAAAAACTACATCTGCTATGAAGGCAACAGCTTCTGCAGATAAAATCCATGCAGTAGCACACAGTTTTGTAACCTATGCTCAGCGGACCAGTCTTTCAGCCATGCGGACAGCATTCTATGAAATAATGAGGAAACGACGGGTTCAGTCTTTCCGTGGTATGCCATGGGCCACATTTATGTGCAGTGCTGCAATGTGCACTGGATTGCTTGTGTGTGGAGATGGAATTGAGTGTGCTGCTGAGACTCTCCCTGCAGCTCCCTCCATTGCTCGTCTTGGTTGTGGGCTCCAAAGTTTGCATCAGGCATCTCAGGCAGTAAGAGCAGGTAGACAGTGTGCAAATACAGGAAACCATTCAGTCCATGATCTACATGTTTAAGAAAGTGAAGGTTTAGTGATGCGACTGCCCTTCTGTATAGATTGATTGATGCTCTATATGAATTGATTATAGTTCACATTATTGATTCTTCCTTTTCATAAATTGATTATAGTTCAAAATATGTATATAGATATGTGAATTATAGAATTTACAGTGGTAGTTATTTACATTCAGTGGTTATTAATTTTATGGTTTGTACCGAGTTTCTAATCTAATGGTTTAATGCTAGAGAACTGCAGAACTTCAGAGGATCTCTTTTCTACTAAAAATGTGAGTTAGAAAGACCTTTTTCTTATTTCATTACTTTTTTAGAATTTTTTTCATATAATATCTAAGCTTCTTTCATCTATATAGTTAGCTTTTGGACATCTTAAGCAAATCTGATAACCAAAAGAGAGTAATCGTCTGTATGATTTTCTTTTGAATTTTAAATACTTATAAATTATTTTACTTTATCCAGACAGTTTAATGTCTAAAATAGTCTTTTAAGCTTATCAAATTTTCCATTGTCTCTCCTTCCCTTGTTTAACTTGGGCAGGCTTGGGTCAAGGATTTCTTGAAATTTGAATGGGCCTGACCCAAGGGCCAGGGTCCTGATTGTGTGTAAATTCTTCAAATCAGTGAACCAACTTGCACCTCTGATCTTATTCTTAGGGTTCTTTGCGGAGAAAAAAGGTTGCTAGAATATTGATTGTGAGAACCTAGTTCTCCACCACTAAGAAAAAGAAACAACAGAAATCTTGAATGGAGAATTATGATTTTCTGGTAGAATCAGGTTAGTTTCTCTTTTTCTTTTTACATTTAAGAATAGAAGGTTAAAATTACTTGAGGTAACTGTAGCTTATATTTAAAGAACTTTGGGGGCATAGATCCCCCACCACCACCCTATCCACCTTAGAAAACTATGTAAACTTCTCTCCAGAATTTGGAGTTATATAATACTCAACATCTTTACAAATCAGGTTGCAGATGAGAACTCAACTCCTATTCCAGGTTCTTGGTATGCCTCCTTTCCTCCAAGCACACTGAGAGACAGAGGGGCAGTCAAGTATTGATAGGATACTCAATACATGCATGCTTCACGAGTTCAACACTAGGAAGTTATTGATAGGATACTTGCCTTTTTTAAGGGACACTCAAGTAGAGGCATACTGTTTTCTAACCATAGACATTGGAAGTTAGAAGCTTATACAAATATTGATTGAATAGGGTGCCTAGATAACAAGAGATCTACATCAATAGTTTGCACTCTTATTGGAGGTAATCTGATTTCATGGAAGAATAAGAAACAATCAGCTATAACAAGGTCAAGTACAGAAGTTGAATACAAAGCTATAGCACATAGTGTTTCAGAGTTCCTTTAGGTCAATTCCATGTTAAGAGAGATTGGAATTGAGGTAAGAGAACTTGTAATGTTATACTGTGGTGATCAAGCAACAATTAACATTGATCATAACCTTGTTCATGATAATAGGATGCTTGATGAAGCATGTAAAAGTAGATATACATTTCATAAGAGAAAGGGTGACATTAAGAGAAGTGTGCCTACCACATGCATCTGACTTGCAACTAGATGATGTTTTCACAATGTTGTTGCAAGAAACAAGTTCAAGCATGATCTACACAAGTTGGAAATGTGTAACATCTATTCCCAACATGAGGGGGAGTGTTGAGATTCAATTGATAATACTTATTTTTGTTTATATAGTTTAGTTAGAGTTATTGGGTCCAAGGCCCATTAGTTTATGTTTTGTTAATAGTGCTTTTTATGTTCATTAGTAGTAGCCAACTTACTAAGGGTATACATGTCATTATAATTAAATTTATTTGTGAGTATATAAGATAATGAAAGGGGCAGTCAGATCTAATTTTTGGCTTTTTCCCATTCTTTCCAATTTCTCTCTTCTTCTCTTCTCTACAAAACTTCTTTTATCTTTCTTTTTTCTATCTCATGTTTTAAATCTTATTAAATTTTTTCACTTTCTACTATAATATATAATAAATATTATTTAAATAATATTGTTAATTAAAAAATAAATAATATTTTTTTACTTAAATAAATAATAATATTTTATAGTAATATTTATTTAGTATATTTATTAATAATAACAACATATAATAATTAGGGTAGTTCACAAAATGATAAAAATAAATCAAATAGACCAAACCAACCTGATTCGACCTGATTGTTGATTTCTCAAATGATTTGGTTGGTTTTGGTTTCATTGAATGTAAAACCCAACATTTCAGTTCGATTGCCAATTACGACTTTGTAAACCAAGTTAAAACCAAGCAAAATATAGATCCCAAACAAATTCAAAGTAACTGGTTGTTTTTTATTTATTTCATTCATTACTTCACTTTTAACTTTTTTGGTGAATAGATACTAGTCTCTCTTAGATCTAGGACTATTCTCTCATCTTTCTAGATTCCCATAAAAGTCAAAAAAGACAAAAGCACAGGTCTACTAATTACATAAATAACAATGTTTCATAATAATATTTATTTAATATATTTATGAATAATAGCAAATATTTAATAATTAGGACTATTCACAAAATGATAATCTAATAAACCAACCTGACTCAACTTGATTTGATTGATTTCTCAAATGAGTTGGTTGGTTTTGGTTTCCTTGAATGTAAAATCTAACTTTTCAGTTTGGTTATGGGTTATGACTTTGTAAACCAAGTTAAAACCGAACTGAACCAATTATATGATGTTAATAGTTTATATGTCATCCTAGAGAAATCCAAACTAACTTGGTATGCTCATAATTTGTTTCTTTTATTATTGCACTTTTAACTTTTTTGGTGAATGGTTACTAGTCTCTCTTACACGCTAGTGTGTATCCTAGACTCTGAGGGCTTGTTCGTTTGCTCTGAAGTATGATATCTAAAAGTAAAATAATTACATTAAGAGATATATTGGTATTGGTGAACTTTTCTTTCCTCTGAGCTCTGAAAATGATCAAATATCCATTTTGACCCCATATATGAGAGTTTTTGTTCGTCTTTTTGGGGGTATCATTGAAAAACAAAAAGTTGTATGATTGCACTATAAGAGATAAGAGATAAGAGGAAACAGTTTCTCTTAAAGTTAAAAGATTCATCTTTAGAGATAAGAGTTAAGAGGAAATGAACAAGCCTTTAGTCTAGGATTGCCCTCTCATCTTTCTCGATTCCCATAAAAGTCAAAAAGGCAAAATCACATATATACCATTTTAGACTTATAGTGAATGTAGTATTGCTAAATTTCTTAAGTTTAAATGTCCACCATTGGATGAATCAATTTAATATACGACTTTAAGCCCATCCTACGTTCATTGTGGTCCAAATTACACTAGATCAAATGTTCTTAAAAAACGACAATAAAACTTGCAATGATAACTCTTGCCTAGCACCCCCACAAATAAAAAGGGTAATCAATGCAAAAGACATGTAAAGTTGGTTAATTGATAGAATTGACTAAATATAAAACAAATGCTAAAATCAGATTAAGTAGTCTGTCGATGAATTTTGGTAAGGTTGATTATCAACACAAAAGTGTCAGTTCAATTGGCACAACTATAAGTAAAACTGAATCCAATCGACTTGTCCACAACCCCATTAATAATGTGTACATAAATAATAATTATTATAATAATTTTATGTAATAATAATAATAATCATGACAATAATATTTTTGTTATTTGCAATATTATCAATCTACTTCTAGGAGTAAAATTGTAAGCCTCACAATTTCATATATTAGAGAATTACTCCAATTCAAACATCCTTATCCTTGTAGAGCCACTATAACATACTTCTTTTTAGATTTCAGACATTATTAGTAATAGCATTTTTACTTTTTAGACATCAGACTTCCAATTTATTAAACGTAAATCTTAATCACTAGTTAAGATTAGATTTGAAAAGTAAAAAGACACGTAATTCTCATTTTTATTTTCAATCGAAATACAAGTTTTTCTTTTAAATTTTCTCCAAAAAAAAAAAAGAAAACTTATCTATTGCTGTTAAAAAGTGGCTTCCTTTATTTTTTTTTTATCAATAATAGAAATTTTATTAATAAGTCAAAGTACAACAGTTACAACCTCCTAGGGGAGGGCTCCTCTGCCTCCACTTACCAGCCATTTGCCACGTCAACTTCTTCTTCAACCTTGGAATACCCTGCCCATAATGGCGCTTCAATCTTTGTTACTATCCACACCTTCCATCACTTGCCATTTGCTAATAGTTCACAACAATGAAGTATTATTTCCTGCCTGATCCTTGCTATTATCACGCCTATTGCCATCAGATTGGAAAGATTGTACTCCACCAAATGAATGAATAATCCTACATATGATTTCCTCCTTCCAAAAGTTGAATGTAAGCCCCACCAATTTCATTGCAACTCTGTCATCATAAAGCTCCACCTCATTACATGGCATAATCCATCTTTCAAATAGAACTGGGCCCTTTGTCATTTCCACCACTGAAATCTCTATAACCACATTTCCAATGTCAATAATGGCTCTGGTTTCTTAGAAAGGGAGCGTCAGCGCAAAGTTACTAATATTAAACTTGGATACCATTGTATTAACGATTGCTTTCCAATCCTAGACTTTAGCTTTCACTGTAATGATGAATCTCTTTTCCTAGTCTCCCTTGTCTACATCCATGGCAATCTTTATACCGAAAGAAGAGTTAAACATTTGAATGTTGTATACCAATTTCTATCATCCGCACCCATCAAAGGGCTTACACTCACTGAATGCTCAACGTGACTTCCTTCCTCACCTTTCTTTTCAACCTCTTGCACCGTTTAGAGTTAAGACTCTTGAAAAACTAAAAACTCATATAGTTCTCTGTGATTAGCAATTGGCCTTCGCACCAATTTACTTTCGACAGACACACCACTTGTTTCTTATCCTGATTGAAATACTCTATGGTTGTGATAAACCATCCTTTATTGTTCCATTGAAGCTTAGCCTCATTTCTCTTCCTTAACCGAGCTAGAGAACTCTTCTAACCCATATTTTTCACAGAGTAGGTTGCTCCATTGACGAATCCCTTAATCCATTACACAACTCTTTCATTGTCATCATGGTGGTTTGTTCTCTAGTATCTTCCTTTATAATAAAAATATATTATAGAAATAGTTCTTTTAAGGAAATTTCAGGTGAAAATACTCGATAGAGTTAAAGCCATACGCTAGGGCACCTTGGTCCTTGTTAGACAATCGAGCTATTACATGCCAAAAAT